TGGTGGCTCAGTGGTAGAGTGCTTGCCTTGCATGCATGAGGCCCTGGGTTCGATTCCTCAGCACCACATAAGCAAAAAGAAAAAAGCTGGAAGTGGCACTGAGGCTCAAGTGGTAGAGTGCTAGCCTTGAGCTGAAGAACTGAGGGACAGCGCCCAGGCCCAGAGTTCAGGTCCCACGACCGGACCCAAAAAAATAAATAAAAATAAAATAAAAACGTGTAGTTATAATTAGTACAGTCACAAAATGTCAATTCATATTGTGGATGAAGTGTCGGACATTCAAATCACCCCTAAATTGTGTTAAAAAAAAACTTTCTTACAAAAATATTTTATTTTTAGAAATAGTGCTAGATTGTCAGGGGCTCATGCCTGCAATCCTAACCAAGTAAGGAGGCTACCATCTGAGAACTGCAGTTAAAAGTCAGCACAAGGGGCTGGGAAGGTGGCTCAGTGGTAGAGCACTTGCCGTGCATGCCTGAGGCCCTGGGTTCGATTCCCCAACACCACATAAGCAAAAAGAAAAAAGAGGGAAGTGGCGCTGTGGCTCAAGTGGTAGAGTGCTAGCCTTGAGCTGAAGAGCTGAGGGACAGTGCTCAGGCCCAGAGTTCAGGCCCCACGACCGGACCAAAAAAAAAAAGTCAGCCCAAAATCTTAACTCCAATTAACCAGAAAAAAGTTGAAAGTGGAGATGTGCCAGTCTTGAGCAAAACAGCTAAAGGAAAGCATGATTAGCTCAAACCCTATAGTAGCACCAAACAGAAAAAAGTGAATGGACAAAACACTTAAGTAAAACTCAAATATACTAAAAGATGTATGTTCTCCTTTCAGACAAAAAGCCTATTAAAATCCAATTGGCAGATGGACATTTTTTTTTATGGCTTAAGGATCTTGGTCCAAAGCCAGCCCATACAACAAAGGTTGTAAGACTCAGCTCCAATTAACCACCAAAAAACCTGAAGTGGTGCTATGGCTCGAAGTGATACAGCATTAACCTTAAGTATAAGACTTGGGGACAGTGCCCAGGCCTGGAGTTCAAGTCCCACAACTGACAAAAACAAAAAATAAAAACTAATTAGTCAAAATCCAGCTCTCTAAAGTACAATTCACCCACGAACATTTGAAAAACTGGTAAGTACACTGTCACTCTGCTGTATAACAGTCTAATTTTTAATGTCATCTAAAATTTCAAGTTTTGAACTCTGGGCTAGGGCAAGGTCCCTCAGCTCTTTAGCTTTGAGCCACAGCACTACCTCTGGTTTTCTGAGTGGTTTATTGGAGATAAAGTGTCTCACGAGTTTCCGGCCCTGGCAGCTTTGAACTGCCATCCTTAGATCTTAGCCTCCTGAATAACTAGGAATACAGACAGGCGTGAGCCACCTGTGTCAGGCAAAACAAAAATTTTTATTAAGTGAATTGGTGAAATGTGTTCAGAATTCAAAAACCACTAACAAAAGATGAATTTGGGGCTGGGAAGGTGGCTCAGTGGTAGAGTGCTTGCCTTGCATGCCTGAGGCCCTGGGTTTGATTCCTCAGCAAAAAGAAAAAGCCTGAAGTGGCGCTGTGGCTCAAGTGGTAGAGTGCTAGCCTTGAGCTGAAGAGCTGAGGGACAGCGCCCAGGCCCAGAGTTCAGGCCCACGACTGGACCCAAAAAAAAAAAAAAAAAAGATGAATTTGGTCATTTAGAACAGTATGAAATCATTGCATACTGTTGGTTATTTTATCCAAATAAAGACAATAGTGGTTGTATATGCAATAGACTAAGGCTAGGAATTTAAACCAGTTGTAACTGTTATGTCTAAGCCACAGTTGTATTTAGAAGTAATGGATTAACAAAATTTGAAAGACTTAAAAAAACAAAACTCAGGCACCAATGAATCATGTCAGTAATTTAACCTATTCAGGATGTCAATGTTTGGTTTGATGTAAAGCTGGGCAAATATCCTTTTAGACTATCTCAAATTACCAAGCAAAGCAGCTGGGCTAGAGTCATGGCTGAGATGATAAACATCAAGTGGCAGCACTGAGTAGAAAAAGGCAGTACTGTCATGGCTTTCAGTTCAAGCCCCAGCACTGGCACAAAAACAATCAAAAATTTATCTAGGATGTTAATCTTAGAAAAATTACAGGTAACAGATCCAGAAGTAGAAAACCCACTGCTTTAGAATTTCTAATGACTTTTAGGCAGTGAAGGAGCAAGCACAAGACCAAGTTCAAACACTAGTACACCCCAGCTCTCTCCCACACATAAAAATCCTTGAGTATGTAAGTCATTACAAGTCATTATGTGGAAGTCATTATATACTTGTAAGACATTCCAAGGCTGGGAAGGTGGCTCAGTGGTAGAGTGCTTGCCTTGCATGCCTGAGGCCCTGGGTTCCATTCCTCAGCACCACATAAGCAAAAAGAAAAAAGCCGGGAAGTGGTGCTGTGGCTCAAGTGGTAGAGAACTAGCCTTGAGCTGAAGAGCTGAGGGACAGCGTCCAGGCCCAGAGTTCAGGCCCCACCACCGGACCCCCCCAAAAAAAATCAAATTAAAAAAAAAAAGACATTCCAGAATGTTTCATATAGTAGCTTTACAAAAGGAGAAATGAATAAACAAAATTTAAGTTAGGGATTTTATCAATAAAGTAAATTTAACTCATCCAGACCTTACCTAAAACCTGGCCAGCAATCATTCTGCCATCCTCGCCTGCTACAGCAGCTCGAGCATTTCTCTCATTAACATACTGCACAAAGGCGAAACCCTTATGAACAGAGCAGCCCACAATTTTCCCATACTTCGAGAAGATTGCTTCCACATCAGACTTCTTGACCACAAGGGTATTGAGATTCCCAATGAATACACGGGAGTTCATGGAACGAGGATCTGTCTTGTTGGTAACATTGCTAGCCATTGTGTCTGATAGTCTGGCTCCTCACAAAGCTGAAAAATTAATAGGGAAGGGGAAAGAATTTAGGTGAGCAGTTAGTAGTCACAGTATTCTTTAAAAACTAAATTTTTAGTCCGCTGCCAGAGGCTCACGCCTATAATCCTAGCTACTCAGGAAGCTGAGCTATGAGGATTGTGCTTCGATGCCCACTTGGGGGAGCAAAGTTCATGTGACTCATCTCCAATAAACTTTTAAAAGTCACAAGTAGAGATGGCTTATGTGATAAAGCACTAGCCTTGAGTACGAAAGTTCAGGGACAGTGTCTAGTTCCTGAGTTCAAGGCCAGGACCAACATACACACACACAAAATAATAAAATCTAAATTTTGAGCCATTGTGACTATCTAGAATGTAAGTCAACTTGAGATCTTACAACAAATATTACTATCCTGAGAATGGTACTCCTAAATGTAGCCTTAAAAAAGAAGTAAAATTTCCTTGGCTCTTTTCCATACAAGGAGCACTAGGATATTTCTCAGGACAAAAATCCTCTTCATAGATAAGTGACAAACACAATCCTCTTAAGAGACACTATATCCAAATATCTGTAATTTGAAGTTTTTAAGCAAACTGGGACCCACTCAGCTCTATACCATTTATTTAACTTCCCATTAACTACCTTGTTACACACCTTACATTAAATCTCATTTATTCCTCCTCAAAATACTCCAAATTCTACCCCAAACCATTTTTAACAAAATGAACAGAACTTGGCTTTCCTTTAAGTATAAAAAAACCTTATAATGAAAAAAAATTTTCAAAGTCATTCACTCTGTAAATACCAATTTACAAGTACGTTAACTTATGTTAGAGTTTTACAGGAATCAATAGTCTTTACATAGATTATGAATTTTAATCTACTTTTTATAGGTAGGGCATTTATTAATAATATTGGATGGTGATGATGATAAAACCATTAGAACACAGAATAAATACGAGTGTACCAGGCCAAAATAAAAGAGGAACATTCCATAAACTAGTTAAAAAATTATTTTAAAATATGGAGCCATGAGCAAAGGACACGGTAAAGAGGTGCTACAAACTATGAAACAGGAAAGACATTCAAAATGAATCTTTCAATACCTTGATAAGTTTTCAAATATCCCAACTACTGAGAAGTAAATCCATTGTCTTATATAAGCCAAGAGAAGAGGCTCATAGTAATATCAGTTCAGGTTGTTTTGCCTAACAGCTCTGAAGACTGGTTTAAAGCCAGCCCATGAAAGTTTGAGACTCTTATTTTTGGTGGAAGCCCCACTTCCACCAAAAAAAGCTGGAGGTGGAACTATGTCAAGTGGTAGAGTGCTAACCTTGAACAAAAAAAAATCAGAAAGGACAGAGTCCCTACCCCCAAAAATGAATTAAAAGAGAATAGATTAATACCCTAAGATGCATAGAACCTAGTAGAAAAGAATTTCAGCTTGTGAAAGTGTTGGGGTATTTTTTTGTCTAAATCTTCAAAGTAAACTAGAGGATGGCAAATCAAATCCCAAAGACAGCATTTACAACCACCAAAATTCAACAATGCCAGTTAAGTCAACAATATGAATGTTATCACTGTCCTGAGGATAAGCAATTTGTAAAGGGGAAAGGGGGAGAAGGCAATGTCTCAAGAAGTAGAGTGCTTAACTGGCATCAGATGTTTCTGATGCATTAATTTTTCATTAGAACAGGACACACAGGGACCATTGCCAAAGAATCTTAGAACTGGATACATGCATGGCTCAAATGGTATGCCATTTTCATAGAAAGTCTGAAGCCCTAAAGTTCAAAGCCTAGTAAGACTCAAACACTCTAGAAAAATGTTGAAATAATCAGTGCATGGTTTTGTTTTTGTTTTTTTTTTCTTTGGGGGGGGGGGGAGTCATGGTGCTTCATCAGGGCCTGTGCACTGTCCCTGAACTTTTGCTCAAAGCTAGCACTCTACCACTTGAGCCACAGCACAGCACTACTTTCAGTCTTTTCTGTTTATGTGGTACTAAGGAATCGAACCCAGGGCTTCATGCATGCTAAGCAAGCACTCTACCACTAAGCCACATTCCCAGCCCACTTTATTTTCTTTACCTTTTTTGTAATCTGTCTCCTACAGATTGTCCCTATTAATTGTGCAAAGATTGGTTATTTCTGTAACATGTAAACATACTGTGATCAAATTACCCTGTTACATTCATATTCTTCCCTTTTTTTGATTAACTTAATAGCTTTTATTTCATTCCAACTGTGAAGTACTTCAATCATTATTTTACCGCCCATTTGCCAATTCTTTGCACCTATTTCAGTTGGTTACACTTGTTTACACCTATTTTACACTTGACAAGCACTAATGACTCACACCTGTAATCATAGTAAGGAAGCTGAGATCTGAGGAGTCAAACCCATTACTCACAAACACACAGGGGTATAGTGGCTATCTCTGAGACAGTTTAAGCAACAACACTGGTCATATTTAGATAAAAGTTCCATGTAAAACAAATAACGTAATAAATGTGCTGTTAGAATATCCAACAGGCAAACAAAACAGCCTCCAAAAGAAGTGATTTTTAAATAAAAACGGAGCTGAGCCCTAGTGACTCACATTATGCAGGAAGGCAAAAGCAGAGTATCAAACATTGAAGTTAACCTAGGCAGTCAATATCCAATTCAATTTAAATCCCAGTTATCACAAAATTATAAATAGTGTATACTAGTATTAGGGCTTCAACACCGGGCTTTTACTGTTTTGCTTAAGTCTGGCACTCTTTAACAGTTGAGACATGCCTCTACTTCCAATTCTTTGCTGGTTGAAGTCTGACTTTCCAGTTTATAACACATTCCTTCTGAGTAGCTAGGATTACACTGGCCCACAGGTCCAACTAGAAAGTATGTACTGGTGCAAGCCTGTATCTAACTTCCCAACACTCAGAAAGATAGCATTTGCTCTTCAACTCAAGGCTAGAACTCTACCACTTGAGCCACAGTGCCACTTCCAGCCTTTTCTGCTTATGTGGTGATAAGGAATCAAACCCAGGGCCTCATGCACACAAGGCAAGCACCCCCCCACACTGAGCCACACCTTCCCAGTCCCATATTACACCATTTTAAACATTGGGAAACCAATTTATCAGTTTCTTTAGATAAGAAACAAGAAACAAACTATTATCTAAGAAACCTTTACAATGGAGCTAGATTACTAGCTAAAAACACTAAAATAAAAAAACAAAGCTAATTACCAAACTTCATTTATGGCCCAGGTGGCTCACATCTATAATCCTAGCTCTTCTTGAGGCTGAGATCTAATGATTGTTTGGTTCAAAGCCAGTAAAGTCTCTGAGACTTCTATCTACAATTAACTACCAAATCAAAAGAAGCTGTGACTCAAGTAGAAGAGTACTGGCCTTGGGTAAAAATAGGATAAAGCCGGGCGCCAGTGGCTCCTGCCTGTAATCTTAGCTACTCAGGAGCCTGAGATCTGAGGATCCCCGTTCAAAGCCAGCCCAGGAAGGAAACTGTGAGACTCTTATCTCCAAATTAACCACTCAGAAAAGTGGAAGTGGTGCTATGGCTCAAGTGGTAGAACGATAGGCTTGAGCTGAAGAGCTGAGGGATAGTGCCCAGGCACAGAGTTCAAGGCGCATGACCAACCAAAAAAATAAAGGATAGCATCCAGGCCTACTTCAAGCCCTAGTACCAGCATGTGCAAGCACACACAAATGAACACATACACACACACTACCTAGGCAATATTATTCTTTTTCAGGGCCTCGGCACTGTCTCTGAGCTTATTTTGGTCAAGGCTAGCACTCGAGCCACAATGCCACTTCTGGCCCTTTCTGTTTGTATGGTACTGAATAGCAGAACCCAGAGCTTCATGATGCTAGGCCAGCACCCTTACCTCTAAGCCACATTCCCAGCCTCTATGTAATTTTTTTTTTATTGGTTGATCTTGGAGCTTTAACTCTGGGCTTGGGCGCTGTCCCTGCACTCTCTTCAGCTCAAGGTGAGCCCTCTACCGCTTGAGCCACAGCACCACTTCCAGTTTTCTAGTGATTTATTGGAGAGGAATCTCACGACTTTCCTGCCCGGACTGGCTTTGAACCGCGATCTTCACATCTCAGCCTCCCAAGTAGCTAGGATTACAGGCCTGAGCCACCAGCACCCAGCTTATGCAATATTCTTAACTTGAATCTGGTCATGAAGTCAACCAAACTTCATAGAATACTGTATACAACTAATAGGAAATTTACCTAACTACTAAAGGATTTTAATGTGGAAAATGTGACATTACTTTATTACTGAAAGAATGATTTACCTTTTGAGTTTTGTCAACAGATTGTCACGAGAGCTGAACAGGTACCGTATTCTCTACACACATACAAATTACCCATTCAAAAGAGCTGAAAGAGAAGTGGCGCTGTGGCTCAAGCAGTAGAGCACTTGCCTTGAGCTGAAGAGTGCAGGGACAGCTCCCAAGCTGAGTTCAAGCCCCACAACCGACAAAAAAAAAAAAAAAGGACCTGAAAGTACCTATGTTGGCAAATGCAAAAATGATACATGAAGTCATTTTTCCCAAGAACACAATAACCTTTTTTTTTTGTCCGCTGTGGGGCTTAAACTCTGGGCCTGAGTGCTGTTCCTCAGCTCTTTGGCTCAAGGGTAGTTTCATGGACTTTCCTGCCCAGGCTGGCTTTGAACTGCGATCCTCTTATCTCAGCCTCCTGAGTAGCTAAGATTTCAGGTGTGAGCCACCAGTGCCCAGCACAATAACCATTTTTTTCTGCCAAATCATCCAGTGGGGGAAACTTGTACTTCCACTAAGTAGTACAGATTCCAATGTCAGTTGAATATTCTTTTTGCTAAAAAGGTTGAAGAGTGAGGAAAATCAATCACAAGTTCTTACACTTACTAAAGCAAAATACACCCTTATGCATCCTACCATGAAACTATAACTGTAGCTATTAAGAAAATAGAACTAGAGGTATAGCTAGCAGAGGAAAATGAGTAGAAAGGAAGGATAT